CAGCAACCTTAAAACGCTGTGGTACATAACCATTCATTAAAGACATATTAAGTAGATCCAAAATGTGGACATTAATTAGGGGAAATACCTCTTTAAACAGTCTGGTTGGGATGGGATCCAGCAGGCATGTGGATGGTTTGGATGAGGTTATTATTTTTGACAATTCAGAGAGCTCAACAGGACAAAAACTGTCCAAACATAAATCAGGCTCTAGTGAAATTTTTAAAGTTGCCTCATTTGACAGGGGACTAGAGATAGTAGAAGGAAGGATGGTTTGAATTTTCTCTTGAATTGAAATAATTTTATTTATAAAGAATCTCATGAAGTCATCACTGCTTATAGTTGTAGGGATACATGGTTCAACAGAAATTGGACTTTTAATTAGTCTAGCAATAGTACTAAACAGAAACCTAGGGTTATTTTTATTCTCATCTATTAAAGTTGAGTAATATAAAGTTCTAGCTGTACGGAGAGTTTTCTTATATGTTAGCAGACTATCTTTCCAAATTAAAAAAAAATCTTCAACATTAGTAGAGCGCCATTTTCTCTCCTGGTTTCTAGATGCCTGCTTTAAAGTACGTAACTCAGAATTGAACCAAGGAGCCAGTTTCCTCTGATTGATTACTTTCTTTTTCAGTGGAGCAATTTTATCAAGGGAAGTTTGCATTGAAGTTGTAAAATGAGTCATAAAGCTAACTCCCTCAGTAATGACATGCTGATGTGAAAGAACGCAACTAATAATCTACATTCCACGTGTCAAACTCAAGGCCCATGGGTCAAATCTGACCCTTTTTAACATCTTATTTTGGCCAGTGTCGCCTTCTTTCATAATATGTTGTTGTTATAAGCCTGAACAACAATAGTTTTGTTAGTTGTTGCTCTCTCCTGGTCGAAGACTTCTGCACTTTTTCCTAAACTCTCTCTGACTGATGACACGACTGATAGACAGAAAACCCCTTTAGAGCGGTCGTCCCTTGAACACCAGCTTCAGGAGCAGTGCTGTGGAGTTGCAGCTTCATCGTGGGTTTTGAGTTGATGTGATAAAGACGGAAACATGTTGCTGCTACAGTAGGACGCTTCAGCTTCCCTTTACTTCGTTCCTCTTTTTGTTTCTACAGTTGTTTGCTGCTGAAAACACTGGGAGACTTTTTAATGACATTGTTTAAAAACCTTAAAATGAGCCCATGTTTGGCACAGACTGTAGAATGGGTACATGAAGGAAGCCACCTGTTTCACAATGGAGCACAAAAATTTTGTTATAAACACATACGCCTTTTAAAGTGTTTTATTTTATTTTGCATTTGGAAAATATTCAGCCATGTAGATATTATTTTTTATGTACAAAATAAGTGAAATGTGTATGTTTTGCTCATCTTTAATCTGCCTGGAAACTTGAAACTGGGAATACGTTTGAGTGGGTTTGTAGGACATGGTAGGACTTGGTCTTTATCTCTGTATGACTTCAGTTTAATGCATAAATCAGGTCGTCTTCAAGCCAGCAACCAGTCATTGGACAAAGAAATGACCCCCTCCTTCCATGCTTGGGTTAGATCAGGACATAATAAAAATGATGTGGTCTTTGTCCATTTTCAGCAGAGGCATTCTCTGAGCATTTGATGGTTAAATATCACCACTAAAGATAATTTCCTGTGTTCAGCAGGAAGATGTCAGAAACAACCAGACGTAAATAGATAAAAAATGGCACTGAACTACAAATGTTGGTTGTAATCTGTGCTGCTCTTAGAAGTAAAGCTCAACGAGCACTGTAGTTTATAGGAAAATTTAACTTTACTTTCTTGCTTCAACAAAATAAAAGATTTATACACAACATTAAAAAAACAATGTGAAGGTGAGACGCTTGTAAGAGTAGTTCTTGCTGCAGCCCCAAGATGGCCGCCAATCACCACCAGCTGTTGGCCATCTGCCTGATGAGTTCCAGCTCTACTTAAGGCTGCAGCCAAGTTCTACTCTTCGCTGGAGCATTGATTCCGTTTTGGTATTTATGCTTCTAACCAGTGCTTGTTCAGAGTCTTTGAGATATTTACCTTGTTTCTTCTGCCTACAGTTGACCTGTCATTTGGTTCCGGTCCTGGTCCGTCCTTTTCTTGGTGCCTCGCCCTCCAGCCACTTGCCTGTCTTGCCCTGCTTGCCTACAGAAACCATCCTTGGGAACCCACGAATCACAGCTGAGCCTCACTGCCTCCTCCAACCTGTAAGAAGAAACAAACAAACAAAACATTATCACAACCACCCTCGTTACAAGAACCTCCTGACCTTTGTCCTTCCTCTCCAGGGATTCCAGGCTACCATCTGTATATATGTATATAACATCACTGTAAATAAATTAATTTTTCTTTTTATCTGAGTCTTGCGTCGTTTCCGGGTCTCGTACTATCTGGGTATCCTGAGCTTATGACAACGCTAACATCAAAATATCTGGGGTAAAAGTTATTTTCTTCTTTGGCACTCATTTGTAATTTTAAGTTTTGCCTTTAAATGTATCCATCATCTGTCCAGAATCAGTAAAACTACAGCTAATATACATTTATCAAACCACAACAAAATTAGCTTTCACCACATTTATTCCTGAGAATTCAGACACAGTATGTGGTATGAACATGAAGACAACAAAATAAATGCATATTTCTTTATCCGTTTAGGAAATCTATACTTTCTAGGTCCTTCTTGTCTCTAATTTCTGAAAGGAACACAGGATGAAGCTGCAACCTGCTCTGAGCCTTGAACTTTTTTTAAATAAAAGTAGAGAAAAAACAGACCCAGACACAACACAAATACACCTGACCCCTTTAACCTCCACCCTGCCCAGTCAATTTGATCTGAACAGTATTTAGCAACATGCAGGGTGTTTTTCCATTTTCTTACTTTAAAATGAGTCAATCTGAACATGAGAGGCAAAGAGAATAAAAATTAATAAAACAAGCGTATGAATAAAATGGATATAAATCTTGATTTTATTAAAGCCAAATCAAGTGTTGAATAGAGCCATTTTGTCTGGCAACACAAAGGGGCGGGGCTTATGGGTCTAATTAAATGACCAAAGGAAACCTTGTAACAATGCTCTTATTCACTTTCTCTTCTAAAATATTCTCCATTATTATTATTCATTTATTATTCTTCAGTAGAAAAACTCAACAGTGTCCTGGTAACAGACTCTCCAAATCTACTCATAAAATAAATTCTGTAAAAGTTACAAAAAATGCAACTGCTTTAGGGAAATCAGCACATTTCTTTTCTGTACTACTTCCTGTTTTCAAAAAACAAACAAACAAAAAAAACATTTTGTAAGAAAAGAAACATCAAACATAAGACATTTCATAAAAATAAAAATAAACTGTTCTTTATGAATCCAGAAGAGTTTTGGTAGAACAGATAAAAATGTGTTTATCTCTGCGATGTTAGGTAATCGTATGCATGTCCTGATGCTGCTCAATAATCCAGAAAGATAAATCTAACAAGGTTGAGTCAAGTCCTTTGGATGGGTCCTTCTTAAAACGTTTCATCTTTTATCCAAAATACTTCTTCAGTCTGAAGAGCTGCAACAAACTCATCCAGCCATCAAGAGAAAAGCAGGAACCCAGACCAGTGGTCATTCCGTATGTTGTGGGTGTTTCAGAGAAACTGAGACGTTTATTTTCTAAACATAACGTCCCAGTGCCTTTTAAACCCCAAAATACATTACGGCAAAGACTGGTTCATCCCATAGATCCAGTCCCCCAGCACAAACAGAGTAATATTGTGGCTCAGCACAGAAGATCAACAACATCAGGCCAGGACTCTGCGGTCTACACTCATCTCCAGGCCAGCGGTCACTCGTTCAGGGATGAAGATGTTCACATCCTGGATAGAGAGGAACAATGGTTTGAGAGAGAAGTAAAGGAGGCCATCTTTGTGAAAAGAAACTGTCCATCATTAAACAGGGGTGGAGGCCTCCGTGTTCAACTGTCCCCCTCTTACAATGCTGTTATTGCTAGCATCACTCAGCCCTCTGTGAATAGCAAGTGGCCATAAGAGCACTAATCATCAGTCGTTAGGCTGATGGTCCTCCTTTATCATGTGAACAGCTAGTTCTGGATGTCAACAACAAACTGGTTGATCCACTATGAGAAGTTGCTATTTATAAGACCAAGTTTGTTGCAGCTCCTCAGACTGACCAAGTCTTTTGGATAAAATATGAAATGTTTCAACAAGAAAAATCAGTCCAGAGGACCTGACTCAACCTTTTTAGATGTTATTGTTAGAACTGTATACAAGTTACATGTATGCTACTAGCAGTAGCATAATTTTCGCCTGCACCCTGTTCGTCAACAGCACCGGTGGTGGTTATTGTTAACCTGGGATTTGACCGATCAGGTATGGTGCCACTTGGATGAATATGCATATTAGTTTTGGCAAGTTTATACATGTTATTGTTAGAACTGTATACATGTTGTTATTGTTCTTTTGGCTGATCCTTTCTATGGGGAATGCCACAGCAAGCAAACTTGCATACAAGATTTGGTAATTGTTTTACACCAGTTGTCCTTCCTGACACAACCTGGGCTCAAACCGGCAACCACTGAGCTTTCAGAGCAGGTAATCATGACCATGCATTAAGCATATCAGTAACCAAATAATAATAATAATAATAATAATAATAATAACAATAATAATAATAATAATAATAATAATAATAATAATAATAATGCTTTACACACAGAAGATCTGTTTGAGCAGCAGAAAGCCACAGATATTCAGCAACAAAAATGATTTTCACTCAAAAACAGTCGGTTCAGAATAAAAGGATCTTAGTACAACTGCAACTTCCAGCTTTGCTTCAATGAAGTGAACAAATAACTTGCTGTGGTCAGTGCTCCTTAAAACACATATGATCCATGAAGATGGACCTAATCAGCTCTGAGATGGTTGAAGTCCAGCGGTAGTGAACACACACACCATGTTCTGAAGGTACACAGAAGGTATACACACATCCTGTAAGTTGGTCAGTGGAACCGTAGCCTTTTCTGTGGCAGAAACTCTTGCTGTTCCTCTTCAGAGAGCAGGTTTCCTTTCACACTAAAGGAAACATCATTATAAGTGGTTAGTTAAATGGTCTGTACTTATACAGTGCCTTTCTATCTTATTTCAAGATACTCAAAGCACTTTACACTACAATCTGTGCCCTCATTTACCCATTCACACAGCACTCTACTAAATCTCTACAAAGCTAATTGAACAAATCATTCTAAAGAGACTAATCAGAGCTTTATCACATTCATACACCGATGGGACACACATCAGAGGGAATGAGAGGTTCAGTGTCTTGCCCAGGGACACTTCAGCATGTGACTGCTGGTGGATTCGAACCTCCAACTCTCGCATTGGAGGACGACTGCTCTAACCACTCAGCCACAGCTGCCCCCAATTAATAGTTAAAAACACATCCATGCATCTGAAAAATTTTTTTTATAAATGGGTAACTGACCTACATTTAGTATGATTTGCTTCTGTTTTCATTTGTGAACAAGTCTTAAACATTACAGAACATAGTTATTGTATTTGCAGTCATGTTTGTCACATCTGTACCATTGTGTAGCAAAATTTAAAATAATAATTAACTATCTTAATTTTATTTGTTTGTCTTTCGCAGAAAATGAAAAAGTATAATGTTTTTGCTAGTATTTGTTTGTATTCTGATGATATGACTGTCATAATCCAGAACACCACGGGTCCAAACAACAAACAAAGGAGATGATTGTAGATTTCAGGAGAAACAGGAAAAAGTCCAACACTATTTCCATCATGGGAGTAAAGTGGAGATAGTGAAGAAGTATAAATACCTTGGGGTTCAGGTATACTGTTAGTTTTCTACTAGCAGTAGCACAATTTTCGCCTGCACCCTGCTTGTCAACAGCACCGGTGGTGGTCATTGTTAACTTGGGATTTGACCGATCAGGTATGGTGCCACTTGGATGAATGTGCATATTAATTTTGGCAAGTGTTTAACGCCAGATGTCCTTCCTGACAAAACCCTTACCAGTGCTTGGGACCAGTGCAAGAGATACACTGGCTGATTCCTCCTAGTGGCTGGTTTATATACTGTATCATTATGAAAATAATCATCATATTCTGGTCACTGAAATACATCATCATGTATTGCTTATTACTGATTATTTTTATAGGCATAATATGATAATACCAAATCCATCCATTTTCTTCCGCTTATCCAGGGTTGGGTCGCGGAGGTAACAGCCTAAGTAGGGAGGCCCAGACTTCCCTCTCACCAGCCACTTGGGCTGAAAGCACTTGGGGGAAACCCGGGGCATTCCCAGGCCAGCCGAGAAGCATAGTCCCTCCAGCATGTCCTGGGTCTTCCTTTGGGTCTCCCCTCGGTGGGATGTGTCCGAAACACCTCACTAGGGAGGCGTCCATGAGGTATCCTAACCAGATGCCCGAGCCACCTCAACTGGCTCTTCTCAGTGCAATACCAAATAAGAGTTATTTATGGTTACTTTAATTTCAACAGTAAATGGACTGTACTTATACAGTGCCTTTCTATCTTATCAAGACACTCACAGCTCTTTACACACAGTTAGATAGAAAGGAGCTATACAAGTACGATACAATCCATTTACCATTTAGTTTAAAACTCTGGCATGAACTGTGGCAGGTGTTATGCATTTCTTTAATGAATACCAACACCTTATTATCTTATACAGTGAAAAACATTCAGGCATTTTGTTAAATAGCAATGTTTAGATGGTTAAAAGTTGATTATTTTAATGTTCCATCTTAACTGTTATGCCTTTCACAGTTAATACAAAACGTGTTAAAGCTATGAGGTTACTCCAAAAAGCTTCAGTGTCGCTGGCTTCCTTAGATAGAAAAGACAATTAGAAAAGTTCTCCATGTATGTGCATGTTTCTGTACAGTGCCATATGTGTATATAACTATATAAATTAACTGAATTGAATTGAATTCTGAGTGATACTCACCAAATCTCTTTGAGTTTAGTGTTATGATCAAGAGCATTAATGAACTGTCGGATCCCAGCCACAGTGAACTTGTTGCTAATTATCCTGCAGACAAGTAACAGCGCAGTGAGTCTGACAGTCAAGAACCTTGTGACAGTGTTGTGCTCATGCACGAGTGTTCTTCACCAAAGGTGGCTTAGGCCAGTATCTGCTTGGATCAACTTGGCCAGATGTGGTGCTGCCTCATCGCCCAACTCATTCTGCACCAACCTGTCAGAACACAAACAAGTAAGAATCTAAACAAAAGGTGGAAACACTGAAATACACACGTTTATTTCAGAGTCAGAGACTCTTTATTGTCCTTCGTGGAGCGAAATTATGTACACAGAGTCCCAGTTACATCCAACAATAAAATGTAAAAGAAAAACAGTAATAACATCAAAGATATGAACTAAGAAAAACATCAACTAAAAATATACTAAGCACTAATAGCATAAAAACATTACGTTGAACAGCAGCACGAACACGAGCATGAGTCTGTGTGAGCAGATGAGCACTCACGAACACAACATGGAACAGATCAGCAGCAACATGATGTGATTTTTCACAGTGATTATTCTGGTTAGAGATTCATGAGTCTAACAGCCTTAGGGTAGAAGCTGTTCCTCAGTCTAGTGGTTCTACACTTAATGCTCCTCAACCTCCTTCCTGAGGGGAGCAGGGCAAAAAGTGTGTGTGCTGGGTGAGTGGGGTCCTTAATGATGCAGGTGGCTCTCTTCCTGCATCTGGAGGTAGAAATGTCTGTGATGGTGGGGAGACTGACTCAGACAGTCTTCTGTGCAGCCTTCACCACTCTCTGCAAAGCTTTTCTTTCTGCAGCTGTGCAGCCTCCATGCCACATGTTGATGGTGGAGCACAGGATGCTCTCCACTGCACACCTGCAGAAGGAGGTGGCTACAGTCTTATTAGACTGTTTTTAAATAATTCTGTTAAACCAAAAATCAGAAGCAGTGACTGAGTAATTTATTTATTTATTTTATTACGTTAGTTTCAAGTGTCAAAGACCTTTGTCAATTTTGATTACTTTATCAAAAGGGCTCCATTAAATTTGTCTGCCTTTATGTTATCTGTGCATGGTCATTTGTGCAATCAACACAACCAGTTGAACAGAATGAGCTGACAATGAAATACATAAAATCAACCAAATGCTGGATTGTATTTTGTTTCACAATAACATCAGTCCTTTCACATTATCTTAAAAGTACAGTAAACAGATCCTATAAAAAAGGTTTACAATAACTTGTACAGATGCAGAAATATATGTTGATGCCCTTTTGACTCAGAAAGGGAAAATGGGTCATGTCTCAGGTTGTGCTTGGTCTGAGTGGAGAGGGCAACTGCTACTGTGAACTGGGAAATTTGTCGGACAGTGGAAGGAGCACTTCAAGGATCTGCTTAACCTGGTTATTATGTCCACATTTGAGGAGGTATAGTCTGAAGACCAGGCCCGGCATGGGTAATCGGGATGGTCTGGAGATTTCCATCTCTCGTTTTCTTTTTCTTTCTTTCACAAGTCGGATCTGCGACGTGACCTGTCAATCAATCCAGTAGGTGAGAATGATTACACATCCCACCCCCTATATGCCACCATTGCCCACTCCAGACCCTATATATGCATGTGTCGTGAGAATGTTATATGCGAGTGTCTAGGTGGTTTAATAAAATTGGGGCCCAGGTCTCCACGAACCATGGAGATGGAGGATCCTCCCCGCAGCTCAGTAGTGCACCTGAACCCCAAGGCCCTGTTTGAGTGGTGGTGTGATGGAGTGGGCGGAGGAAGATGTCGGGATGGGGAGGAACAACTGAGGTGGCAATGCCCTCCCAGGGGGCCAGCTCCCCCACTGACCCCAATAGGCACCCCCATTCTCCGATATCCACTAGGGGAGGAAGGCTCCAGTACATCCATCCAGGAGCAGGAGGCAGCCGCACCACCAGGGACCCAGGCCACGGACTGCCACATAGCCAGGAGGACCGACCAGAACCCGGGCCAGCGATGCCCCACGGGACGAAAACAAAAGAGTTTACCCACCTCCACTACAGGTTATTTATATAGCGCCAAGTCACAACAAAAGTAATCTCAGGGCACTGAACATAAACATTCACATGTAAAATAAGTTAACAGAAACATCCATACATAAAAAATAATAAGTTAAGACTTTATCTGAGGAGTAGGCTGCTTTGAGTTTAACTCCATCACAAAACTCTCATCTTGAGCAAGCATGAAGGCGACAGTGGAAAGGAAAAAACTCCCTCATGAGGAAGAAACCTTTAGCAGAACCAGGCTCAGGACAAGTCATCTGCTTTGACTGGCTGGGTTTGGTAGGAACAGATACACAATGGCAGGTCAAGTAGGGCTGAAACAATTCCTCGAATCATTAGAGTACATCGATTACAAAAATCCTCGAGGCAAATTTATCAGCCTCAAAGTTTGTTAAACTATTCAGAGCACTGTGGTCGCAATGTGTGTGTGTGTGTGTGTGTGTGTGTGTGTGGAAGGGGGGGGTCCTCTCACAGAAAATTTTGAATAACAGAGATGACATTTCCTGTATTTTGGTGTACAAACCAGATTCCAAAACAGTTGGGACACTAAACAAATTGTGAATAAAAACTGAATGCAATGATGTGGAGGTGCCAACATCTAATATTTTATTCAGAATAGAACACAAACCACAGATCAAAAGTTTAAACTGAGAGAATGCATCATTTTAAGGGAAAAATCTGTTGTTTCCAAATCTCATGGCGTCAACAAATCCCAAAAAAGTTGGGACAAGTCAATTTTTACCATTGTGTGGCATCCCCCCTTCTTCTTACAACACTCAACAGACGTCTGGGGACAGAGGAGACCAGTTTCTCAAGTTTAGAAATAGGAATGCTCTCCCATTCATGTCTAATACAGGCCTCTTAACTGTTCAATCTTCTTGGGCCTTCTTTGTTGCACCTTCCTCTTTATGATGCGCCAAATGTTCTCTACAGGTGAAAGATCTGGACTGCAGACTGGCCATTTCAGTACCCAGATCCTTCTTCTACGTAGCCATGATGCTGTGATTGCTGCAGAATGTGGTCTGGCATTATTGTGTTGAAAAATGCAGGGTCTTCCCTGAAAGAGATGGCGTCTAGCTGGGAACATTATGTTGTTCTAGAACCTGAACATAGTTCTCTGCATTGATGGTGCCTTTCCAGACATGCAAGCTGCCCATGCCACAAGCGCTCATGCAACCCCATACCATCAGTGATGCAGGCTTCTGAACGGAGTGTTGATAACAACTTGGGCTATCCTTGTCCTCTCTGGTCCAGATGACATGGTGTCCCAGTGTTCCATAAAGAACTTCAAATCGTGACTCATCTGACCACAGAACAATCTTCCATTTTGCCACACTCCATTTTAAATGACCCCTGGCCCAGTGCAAACGGCTGAGTTTGTGGAGCTTGCTTAGAAATGGCTTCCTCTTTGCACTGTAGAGTTTCAGCTGGCAATGGCAGATGGCACGGTGGATTGTGTTCACTGACAATGCTTTCTGAAGTATTCCCGAGCCCATTCTGTTATTTCATTGACAATGGCATTCCTGTTTGAGGTGCAGTGGGGCCCGGAGATCACAAGCATCCAGTAGTTTTACGGCCTTGACCCTTACACACAGCGATTGTTCCAGATTCTCTGAATCTTTTGATGATGTTATGCACAGTTGATGATGATAACTTAAAAGTCTTTGCTATTTTACGCTGGGTAACACCATTCTGGTATTGCTGCACTATCTTTCTGCGCAACAATGGTGGAATTGGTGATCCTCTTACCATCTTGGCTTCTGAGAGACACTGACACTCTGAGAAGCTCTTTTTATACCCAATCATGTTGTCAATTGACCTAATTAGTGTTAATTGGTCTTCCAGCTGTTCGTTATATGCTCAATTTCCTTTTTCCAGCCACTTATTGCTACTTGTCCCAACTTTTTGGGGATTTGTTAAGATTGTGAAATTTTATTTTTCCTTTAAAATGTTACATTTACTCAGATTAAACTTTTGATCTGTCATCTATGTTATATTACAAATAAATTATTGACATTTGCCATCTCCACATCATTGCATTCAGTTTTTATTCACAATTTGTTTAGTGTCCCAACTATTTACATAATAATAATATACATTTGAAAACACTTAATAAAATTAGTATTACGGAGAGGCCCCAAAAAGTTCAATCTGGTCCTTTGGACATTCAAAAAAAAAAAAAAAATAAAAATAAATAAACATACCTGAATCAATGACTTGGTGGTGTCCCTGAAAAGGACGTCAAGGCTCTCTTTTCTACCTCCTCCATGCACAGGTTGGCAACAATAGGTGAAACTGGAGACCCCATAGCACACCCATGTTTATGCCTATAATATTGCTCCCCATATGTGAAGTAGGTTGACTGCAGGCAGTTTCCTTTGCCTGCTGGGAGAACACGATCATTCTCCCAGCAGACAAAGGAAGGTGCACAGTGATTTTGAACCAGAAAGACTATCATGAGAAAGTTATGACACTCCTTAGTGACTTAAACACTTATGAACCTCTGAAAAGAGATCCAGGAAGTGGTTACAAGAAAAAGTTAATAGATTGCCTGAAAATTTTGGAGCAGGACAAGGCTATTGACCGTATTCTGTACCACAGACTGTACCTAGGGGAGGCCACACCTAGTCTGTATGGTTTACCTAAAATCCACAAACAAGGTGTACCTTTAAGACCTATTGTTAGCATGATTAACTCTGTCACTTACAATGTTTCCAAATATCTGGCGTCTGTACTCATCCCTTTAGTTGGCAGCTCAGAACATCGCATACGGAACACCATGGACTTTGTCCACCCTGCGTTGCCTGGTTGAGTCCAACCCCTCATCGTGGAGTCAAAGTCTGGTTTGGGTAGAGTACGCCCACAACTCCCACCGCTCCTCTGCTACCGGCATGTCCCCCTTCGAGGCCTCCCTTGGGTACCATCCTCCTCTTTTCCCCAGTTGTGAATCTGACTGCACGGTTCCGTCTGTGCAGCACCACTTCCGGCGGTGTCGTCGCATCTGGCGCCAGGCCAAGGTGGCCCTCCTTAGGACCACAGCCCAGGCTAAACGGTTCGCAGACCGTCATCGTTCGGCGACACCCGCCTACCAAGTCGGCCAGCAAGTTTGGTTGTCTACCAGGGACATCAAGCTGCGGGACACCCCCCGAAAGCTGGCTCCCCGCTTCATT